ATTACCTGTTCCGCTCCTTCCTTGTCACCTGTCACCGGTGCCTGTGGTGTGTGGGAAACGCTCACTGACCTTGTGTTCACCTTGTGGGCATTGCCCTGTTGCTACTCTCCTGGGAATGGAATAAGAAACGAAGGCAGCCCTGCCTGATTGTTGTTAGATGTTATTACTGTGACAACCCCACCTTTCGTCGTCCTCTTTTTTTCCCAGCGCTGCAGCATAATTGACACATAGGAGCTGTGTTTACTAGAGGAGTACAACTTGACGTCTTGATATATGGGCACATTGTGAAAAGATCACAGCAGTCAAGTCAGTTAACATATCCCCCACCTCCCATAGTTACCATTTCCTTTCTTAGCAAATTTCAAGTACACAACACAGTATTGTCACATTTGCTGGACATTGTAGCTTAGTCACCACAGATCTGCAGAACTTATTCAGCTCACATAGCTGAAACTGCGCATTTTGAGTAATATCTCCTAATTTCCTCCATGCCACCCCTCGCCAGGGCAACCACCATCCTGCTCTCTGCTTCTGAGAACTTGACTTTTTTTTTTAAGATTTTACTTATTTTTGAGTAGAAGAACTGGGGTGCAGGCCAGAGGTGCAAGGGTGAGGGGATTTCCAGAGACAGAGTGGGGAGCAGAACAGGTGGATCTACTGAAATACGCTGCTGAGGGGAGTAGCGGGCGAGATAGGAGAGGTCTGCTGTGCCATGTGGGTTAGCTGGCCATGTGGATCCCTGGCCAGGAATCGAACTCGGGTGGTCTCGGTGATGTTGTATCTGTTGTATCACAGTAGTTGTATCTGTGTGTGTGGCTTGTTTCACTTAACGTAATATTCTCCAGGTTCACCCATATTGCTACAAACAGCAGGATTTCCTTTTGTAGCCTGACTAATATTCCATTGTGTGTTTATATGGCTGTGTTTTTGTGTATCACATTTTCTTTATTCTCTACCACTGGTCACTTAGGTTGTATCCCAAGCACTGCAGTGCACAGGGGAGTGCAGTGATCTCATTAAGATCCAGATTTCATTTCCTTTGGATACATACCCAGAAGTGGGCTTACTGGGTCATATGGTAGTCCCAGTTTTAATTTTTTGAGGGACCTCAGAGTTGTTTTTCATAACAACCACACCAGTACATATTCCCACCAGCCATGTACATGTCACTTACATAGTTTTTTAAGAAAGGTAAACCCATGTAGTATCCTTTTTAAAAATTGTGTTAGTCGTAAATCAGTGTATTAATTATAAAAGATCCAAATACAGAAAGCTAGCAGGAAACAGAACACTTATCTCAGGTATGAGAGAAACATGGTAAGGATTAAAACAGAACAAACAAAAAAAGATGTTTCAAAAATACCCCTGACTAGCAGGGAGGGAAAAGACCAGCAGAGTGTCAGGCACCTCCTCCTCCCTTCTTTCCTGTAATCCTGTCCCAGCTCTTATGATCACTGACAGGGACAGTTTAAATGACCAGGGCCTTTATTAAGGACCCCAAAAGTCTCTTAAATAATCAGAATAATTACAGTCAGTGCAGGGCCTCCCTGGGCTCTCAAGGGGGAAACACCCCGTATCTATTTCTCATCTCAGATACGCTTCTCTGAGTTGTCCAGCCAGACTCTTGGAAACAGGGACATGGCTTGCGGGAAGGATCAGCCCCGGCCACCCACACAGTGCTGGAAATATGAAACGCCACCATATCTTGGCATCCAGAGGGTCGAGAGGACCTGGAAGACTGATAGAGCATCAGCTTCACAGCCATAAAAACAGAAAATAAAATTAGTATAGCTGCTCATTGTAAGCTAATTCCTTCATTCACCTCCACGCCAACCCGATGCTGACTTTTCCTTACCACAAGTCAGCACTATGAGGAGGAAAGGAAGGGATAGAGAAGGTGGAAGAAAGAAGACCTAGGTTTGAGCTTTGCCAGGGTGTTGGTCCGCTTATGCCAGTTGTTCAGTTGCTATCATGAACTTCAGCCTCACAAGACCCAAATTTCACATCCCCAAACACTTGTCCTGCCCTGTGCTGCTCCCCAAATCTCCTGAGTTATAAGCCCAGTCTCCTCAGCATCCTGCTGCTCATGGTTCCGTCAGGACCTGTGTTCTGTGAGAGCCAGGGGAACCACGGGATCCAGTGTGTCTGTCAAATCTCATCGGGTTTGCGTCTCTTGGCCTTGTCCCCTGTGCTGTGGAGCAGGTCCAAACCCCTTTCCTCCACTCATGGCTCCACTACGGCAGAACTTGACTTCCTCTGGACAGGCATGCCAGCCTTCAAGGCCAAGGTGAGCTGCAAGATAATGAGAGTAAACAAGTGGGGAGGCCCCGCCAGCACCTGCGGCTCTCAGACGGTGCTGTTCTGAGGTGTGCCTGCTCCGCCCGTGACAGGAACACCGCCCTGGCGCTGCCTGCCGGAGGAACGGCAGACACGCAGCAGCTCTGCCCTGGTGTGTAGGAGCACGACACGCAGCAGACGCGCTGCCCTGCGGCTACAGCCCGATCCCGCGCCAGCAAATCCCAGCTCCTGCACGTGGAACACCGCCCGCTGGGCAGTCCCTCCACGAGGCACCTGATGTCAGCCCCACAAACACTGGGCAGCCTCTTTTAACGCTGTGACTAGCTCTCCTATGAAAACCGAGGTGTGGGTCCCACACACCTCTGCCTGCACATGAATCCCATTTGCTCACCAAGTGATTCCCAGTGCTGGCTGCATGTTCCTTTCCCTGGGGCTTTAAAAAAAGGCTGATGCTGGAGTTCGTCCCCACAAACTCCATTGTCAGTGCTCGCCAGCAGACCTGGGCATCCCTTTTGTTGGAAGCAGCGGATGATGCTGACGCAGTGTAGCTACTGCTGCGGGACCAGGCCTCAGTAGTCAGTCTGCGCCCTGTGCTTACTGACATGGCCAGGGCCGCCAGGTGCAGAGGGAGGGGTACTGAGACCCCGACGCCCCTGCCTGGCACTGGGCAGGGGCTATACAGAATTTGTGACCACGGACAGACAGACAGATGGTGAAAGGAGCGATTTCTGTGGCAAGCGTGGAAGGATGCAGTCTTGGCCTCCATGACGCCAGCAATTAACATGGATAATCGGAACCAGAGCTAGGAGCAGCACTCACCATCTTTACCTGAAAACTCAGGTAAAGATGACACGCAGCTTGGTTTCTCTTTGAGGCGTCTAAGCATTGGCCTCATTCTCCATTTCTACTCTTCCCCCTCCCCGCCACTGCCCGACCTAGACCTCCCAGAGAGCAGCGCCCTGCTTCCTTGTCTGCCTTTGCCAGCGCAGCAAAGCGCCTGGTGGCTATGCCCTGCTCTCAGCAGCAGCGGGAAGCCTTCCCAGCTCTGTAGCAGTCTCGGGGAGATTAGTTGCGCATACAGTGAGTCCTCCCTTACTCATTTGCTGGCTCCGGCAGTGTTTTGAAAGAAGCGAATGCTAAGACTGCTTATCCACAGGCTTTTGAGTAATGGTGTGTTTATCTCAGAATCCCGGCCTAAGTGGTAATTGTATCACTCCCTGCGGGGGAAGGAAGCCAAGATGCTTGGGGTGGGTGCTGCCTGCCCACCACACAGCGGATGCGCCTGGTGCCGCTGTTCTAAAGCCGGGGGTGTCAGACACACAGCGTGGGGAGAGCTGAGTGAAGACCTGCCCCCACCAGCAAACACTAGAGCGTAATTCCTCCTCAGCGTGAAGGCCTGGTGCTCTGCAGAGCTCAGAGCTGACAGGTGGCTGCTATGTGAGGGTCTGGCCGTGCGCTGCAGGAGGCCAAAAGGAGAGGGGTACTCTGCGACATGGAGAACCCCGTGTGTCACGTGACTGCTTCTCACTGTCAAGGTTTGGTTCCACCCAGCAGGCCTGTCCCGAGTCCTGATGTGTCCTGGGACCAGTGATAGAGAAACAGCAGGCTCCGCAGCCTGAGGGAACCAACAGTCTGTAGACGCAGGCTCTTAACAGGCACTTTAAACACATAGGAGCAACAGAGAGTCAGTCTCACAAGGAGTTTTGGGGGTAGAAAAGAAGGGCCCCTTGTGGAGACTTGGCTTCTAGAGAAAGAGGTGAGCAGGAAGGCAGAGGGTGCACAGAAGCTTGGGGGTGGTTTGAAGAAGATCTAAGGGGGCCAGGAGCCTGTTCCCACCCAGAGAGAGGTAGCCCCCCTCTCACTGACAGGCAGCGAGGACTCTGTATCATAAATGCAGGGTCCCCCCTGTCTGAACGTGGAATCCTATCGGTCAGATTTGGTAGGTTATCTTTTAGGTCTGGGAGTGCTGTCTCTGTTAATTTAGATGGAAATTTTTTTTTTTAATGTTACCAGACCCAAAAAATAGCCTATCAGATCATACCAAGTAGGAATGTTCTGCTTTTGGCAAGCAGGGAGGCCTATACAAGGAAAGCAGAAAGATCCCCAGTGACCCCAAACAGGTGGAGGCGGGCCAAGTGGGGGGAGATAAGTGTAGGTCTTGGTAACTTTTAAGCGTCCATGTGCTGGGCCTCTAAAGGGCTTCCTGGATCCATCCTTCAAAATTCACTAAAGGGCATGGTCTCGTACGGGTCATTGCAGTTGCTCCAAAAACATGTTGCGACAGTTTATGGTTCCTCTCTGGCACACTACATGGAGCCAGACTAACAGTATCCAAAAGTGTGCGCTGTGGATGTGAGGCGCCCTGCCGCCGCTGGAGGGATACTTGAAAAGTGGGAATGTTGATGACCTTGGAGAGGGTGGGCTTCTCCCGAGCACCCCTGGTGCTGTTGGGGCTGGCTGCTGTGCACACTGATTGCATGTCTGTGGCCTGTTCAGACAAGTGCAAAAGACAACTAAGAAGGCACACTCCATGGCATAAAGAAGTTGTTTGTTGGCGTTTGAGTGATTTAAGTTATATTAAATGATTCATTGATATAACGGTGACAGCAAGAATTATATAAAAGCATGAGAAAAAAAGTGAGAATACAGAAGTATAATTTTGTTCTTTCTCATCTATAAATTTGGCCTTGTTTTTCTTTCAGTTTGCTGCTCACCTTGTGAAGATGAAATACCCCAGGGTCTGTATTCTTGATGGTGGCATTAACAAGCTCAAGCCAACAGGCCTGCTCACCGTGCCCTCTCCTCAGATATGAAGAACAAGAGAGTGACAGACACACGGGGGTACCCCATGGCACAGCCCGCCATGGCCTCGCCCCGTTGACAGAACCAGGCACCCAAATTGTTGCATTTCTCTCAACTTTGTCATGAGACACATGTTTAATCCCATGATCCTAATGTTCAGCTATTCAGGCAGCAAACTTGACTGTACATGTACTGCTGAAAGAATTTTCTTAATGGTGAAATCTGATCATGAATTCTCACCACATGGCGACACAACGCTAAAGGAATTCAGCTGACAAGGCAGATTTTGTGTTATCAAGAGATCTCAGTTGCATTGAAAAAGCTGCCTCCCAGGGCACTGAACAGGCAGTCCTGACAAAGGTACTATTTAGAACATAAAATATGGGCCGAAAACCTTCTTTCCATGATAATGAAAGTGAAAAGCTATTCTCAGTACATTCCTATTAAGTAAATGTTAAGTTTAGTAACTCATTTTTGGTCCAGATAAGTTGTCTACCTCCCCAGTACCGCATGTGTGTGCGTGCATGCGTGCGTGTATCTAAGAAGAGGAAAAATTAACCTATTCTGTCCCTTTGAAGAAAACAATAATCATTTATTTCCAGAAAAGAAAAGCCAGAAGCTATTGATGTTGACATATTTATTCATCTCCTGTGGTAAGAAACCCAAAATAAGAGTGACTTTATTTTATTTATTTTTTTTTTTAGAGGCATGGTTTTTTTTTTTTTTTTTATTTGTTTGTTTGTTTTTTGTTTATACATGCACTGGGTACAGTCAGAAGCGCAGGAGGGTGAGAGAATTCACCAGAGCCAGAGCGGGGAGCAGAGCAGGCAGAAGGACCGAAGTACACTGCTGAGGGGAGCAGCGGGCGGCAGGAGAGGTCTGCGCGCCATGTGGGACCCTCCTCCGGTGGCCGGGGAGCAGCCAGGGATCGAACCGGTGCCGCAGAGGCCGCGGGCAGCTTCGCAACCCAGCGCTCAACCGCTGTGCCACCGGGGAGGCCCATAAGAGTGACTTTAAAAGCTAGATTGTACACCTCTCACCCACGCGTGTGTGCGGAGTCAGCCCAGGGCTCCTATCCTGCTTCTGTGACAATTAAAGAGTCAGTTGTCTTTTATCCTCGACACATGGCTTTGACCTCATAGGTCAAGGTGGTTGCTCAGCTCCCACCATGAAGTCTGTGGTTTGGAAGGAAGGGAATGAAGAAAGGAGAGAAGGGTGGAAAGGGGAGGGGAAAGAAATAGAAATAGGAATGACCAAAAAAAAGATAAAATGAAGGAATAAGGAAGGGTGTGCTCCTTCTCCCTAGGGCCAGAACTCAGGCTGTGGCCACACTACAGCGTGCCTTTGTTTGCAAGGCCCTTTACCCAGCCGGAACGTCTCGTCACGTTCTGGAAAGAGAAGAGCACTCATTGAGGAACAGCTAACAGCCTCTGCACATAATTCTAAAAATTAAGTACTGTATTTCACTGACTCTAAAACATATCACAAGTGTATGTGCCTACAAAGAAAGAAAAATACAACCAAATAAACTATGACATCAGCAGTTATACAGAAAAGTGAGAAAGCGTGCATCTTAGAGTTATTGAAGTACAGTACATCTTTTGACTACCTTCAGTCTTGTTTTAACTGAAAAACATTCTTTCTCTTTAGCGTATCCTTCTTCAGGGTGAAAATGACCTGAGTGGAACATTTCAATAAGAGCTTCAATTGCACTTTCTGGGCTATGGTTTCATTGTTGCTGTTTGTTTTGGACTTTTAATCTTTTTTATTAAGATAGCATTTCCAGACCATAAAATTTACCCTTTTAAAAAGTACAATTCAGTGGCTTTTATTTTTTTACAAACTTGTACAGTCATCTACAATGTAATTCCAAGACATTTTGGCCACCCAAAATAGAAATCTATCCCTGCTAGCCGTCACCCCCCAGAAACCTTCCCCCAGGCTCAATTTTTGTACAGGAAGTGAGATAGATACCCAGTTCCAATCCTTCCAATCCAAGTTGTCCTAGGGGGCATGACATTTTGTGTGTTTTGCTCATATATATCCAGTCATTCACTAACTTTATGATTCAGTAGCATGTCCAGCCTTCTTCACTTTGCTGGGCAGCATTGAAAGACTAATTCTAGCAAAGCATTCCAGTCATACTTCTAATAAAAGTCTTATTGCATCATATTGCAATTATCTGTGCACATTTGGGCTCCATACTAGACTATAGACTCCTTTAAGGTCAGAGATCATAATTTATACTGCTTGTTGTCTTCAGCAAACCACCCCACTAGAGATGCTTGATAAATGAAAAAGTAAACTGCAAGTGTTGCATCGGAAGTGCATAGGAAAAAATTTTAACAACCCAGGTAATTTTTTTCAAATGCCAAACTCATCCATTACCTGATATTTAAGAAATTGAAATCTCAATTCACTGAGTGAAGAACCTCCAATGTTCTGCTCAGCATTAAGGTTCTCAAATCCGAGAAGTTGAAACAGGTGACTTCTAACAATAAGCTGATAAGCCTATTGTTATCTAGGCTAATAAGATAAACTAGTTACATCCCCTTTCCAAAACATAAACATGCTAGATTTTAAAAGAATATTAAAAATGGTTAATACTTAACCAAGATTGAGAGAAATAGAATTTGCTTGATGTTAGATATGAAGTGCCTGGGACACTGCCAGGACCATGGAACATTAGAGGTCAACAGAACCATAGAAATGGAGCCTTTAATATGCATATAGGGGTCGAGAACACAGCCACAGCCTTCTGTTAGGGAACTGGTATTCAGAAAACTTTCCAAAGTGACAGACTGAAAGAATTCATGGCTCCATGAAACAATTAGCAATAACTTCCCACCAAATCAGGAAAGTTTGCCATGGCCTGGAATTCTGAGTGAGGAGAGACAATGCTGACATAGGCATTTGGAAGAGTCAATGGAAAGGCTGGGGGATGTTGCCAAATTTGAACTGGCTTTAGGGCACATGTCCATCTGCCTACTTAAAAATGAGAACAGTGTGTTGCATCAGACTTTTGGAATGCATAGATGGTACGAGATCTTTGTTCAACTCCTCTGTTTCCTCCTGCAAATAGTTACCAGAAAATACTTCTTTAGAGATTAATATCAAAAGGAGAGCACAGCCTCTGAGAAGGGTCGTATGCAGGAGTCTCATCCACTGAGATCCACCATCGGAGGAAGACGGTGGTCCCTGCCGTAGGTCATCAGAGGTTTGGCTTTTTCAGAGTCCTAAGTAGTCATCTCGCTGGTATGTGCACCTGCAGGCTCTATATAGGCCTCTTGCTAACCAGATCATGCATTTTTCTTGATACACATTCATGAAACCAGAGTTGAAGCAAAACGATAATCTATGAGGTTTTGTTTGGCTGTTCGTCTCAAGCTCAAACACCCTTCGCAATTGCCGTCTTGGACCTTATGCAGAAAAGTAACAGGGAACTGTTAACAAGCCTGGCCCTTGACCCTGAGCAGCACATGCCGTCACACACAACCTGCAGAGTTCCCAGTCCACTTTTAGCCCATGTAATATTAGAAATAGTCCACATGGTAAATAAGCTATTTTAAAAGGTAGCCACTTTTTTTAAGTTGCATGTATTTATATCTTGTCTGAGAAATTTTCTGGTTGATGTCTTCTAATAAGTGCTTGTCACATGGGGACTAAACTTGGACCTTGGCAAGCCCAGTGTTCCGTGGCTGGACTGTGGTGCCTGCAGCCTCCACTGGACATCCAGGGCATTTGTCCCCTTTGGGCTGACAGTCTTCAGTGTCCCACTTCATCCCTTCCCAAGGGTCTACATGCACCGCGTTGTCTGCGGCATTTTTATTCCTCACCTGAGCAGTGAGCAGAGGGAGCCAAGAGCCGTATCGCCAGCATTCCAGGGTCTTACATGTTAATCCTCGGGGTGGCCGAGGTTAAAACACTGTCCTGCCTGGGCTTAAGACTAATCTTGGTGCTGTAACAAATGCAGTCCAAACATTAGATCAGAATCTAAATGTTGCTTCCTGCCACACTGAAAGATCCAGCTCTTGAAATGTCCCTCTTTGTATGTCTGTGGCTTTTTAAAAAACAGCTCGTGACCTATGCTGTTCTTCTTTAAAACTGCAACAGTGCAATCGCTAGTTAAAGCAATAACTAGACAAGATATACAGCAGAGACATTTTCTCATTAATCCTGGAAACTTATGTTTGTTTCCATCATTATTAACTTTTTCTCACCTCTGTTAGCATACTTTGCAGTCCCTTCAGGTAGAATAACTCAGTATTTTAAGGCCTGTGCTGAGCTGGAACTGGGTCGGCCCTCTGTTGAGAGGGCCAAATGTACCCATTTTGTGCCAAGTCCACATCCGTAGCTGACCACAGCATGCGTATTTACACCATAGAAATTGGCACATGTCACAGAATCATGGCTTTCTTTTTATTCCTTTTCACTTGAAAGTCAGTATTTACCATCAAACCACTGATTTTTGCCATCCCGTGTTGCATGGAGGGAGAAGGAAATTTGAAGAGCATCTAATCCAGACATCATTGTTCAAAACAGTAGGAACAGTGAATGAGTTTACAGAAATCACACAACTAGTAAAAGACAAATCTAAAATTATGTCTCTGCTTTCTCCTGTTTCTGACCCTTTCTCTGTCCATCCCATACAGAAAGAGAAGGTGAAGGACACCGCTGTCAGCCAGGACACATTCATTACAGGGCCAGGTCCTGCGTGGGTCCCTGAAGGTAGTGACTGGACTCTTGCCCCTTGAGGAGTACACGCCACTCACTGTCAGCTCTTGGCAGCTGCACTCACCTTCCTAACCCAGGGCACACATCCAAAAGTAAAGATTTCAAAAGAGAAGGGAAGAATGTCCAGACTGAGGGGATGACACTGTTCTCAGGAGCTCTTGCTACATACAACATTACCCCTTCGCCCCGAGACAACATAACCCATCAGGGTAGAGACTGGCACAGCCCCGACCTCAACATGCAGGGACAAAATGGCCTGTAATATTAGTCTTCTCCATATTCACCAGGGAGCGGGCTGGAAGGACTGGGCAAGCCTGCATCAGCCTCCCACTCACATGTGGAAAGCTGAAAAGGGGGATGGGAAGGAGGCAAGCTAGTTCCTGGGTCTATTAACCACAAAAGAGAAGAAATGGAGATCGTTTTGATCATTTGCTAACTTAAAAGTATTTGTATGCTCTGCTATCAACGATCATGATAGTTTACTTGTCGGATAGCTTGTCTTTTCTAAAACTATATCTCAAACCATTAACATTCCTTTGGCTGTGCGTGTGTCGCCATGAACTCCATGGAGGCCCCTGAGGAGCTGCAGAACAGGTGTCTGACTCCTGTTGCAGGCAGAGGACCCAGAGGGCAGCCTGCACAGGATGTGCCTCCAGGGAGAGCCTTTCTTCTTCAATGGTGAGTAAAGAGCAAACACCATCTCTGTGCTCCGGTTAGCCTTAGTTACTTACACACGGCAGCACAAGGGCCCCGGACCAGACGGCTAACTAATGGCAGGCCCACCATGACCATGTGAACACCATTTCCTGCTCACGAGGATCTCAGAGGTCCGTCCTAGAAGTGTTGTCCTCCCCTATGCCACCCGCCCCCGGCCCCGCACCTGCCCGAGCGGGACTGTGCCCCCAGAAGCCCTGCTGAGACAGCCCTGGATGAAGCCTGGCCTGAGCAACTCGTGTACACAGATGGAATCCACTTCCAGAGGTTTATCCATTACCTCCCTCTAGCAAGGGCGGTGGGGAAGTCAAACCAAAATACAGATTCAGAGCTAGGAGTTTAGTCTGAGTAATTTACTTTCCCAAATTAGCCTGGTAGAGGCTGGCCAATGTTAAAAGTTTCCATCCCTGCAGTATAGGGGACTGTACATTCCCCATAAAGTGTGGTTTCTCTTTAGTTTATAGCAAAATTCGTTTTCATATCAAACTGCCTTGTTGTTAATGTCAGCTGCTCATTTATATTTAAGCGACCGTCTCTCCCCTAAAAGGAGGCAAGACAGGAAAGTTCACTGGTAATGAGGTCATTTCCTTTCAATTCATCTACCTCTTTTTATATTAACTTAATATGAATCCTAAACAGGTTACATCTAGCAGCATCCCAGGTGATAGACTAGTTCCAATTTCAGAAATAACCATTCTCCGTTTATCTGGCTAACTAACATTTTCAATACATTTGACACAGAAAATGAGCCAATGGGGCATTTAAGCACATTCCAAAAGATGGTCACTTATGAGTCAAACAAGTTTTGAAAAAGTGTATATGTTAAGTCAATGAAGTCATTAAAAAGGAGGTAAGTTAGTCAATAATTTTTATCTAAACCCACTTATGTTAATATGAATTCTAGAAATGCCATTTTAACATGAATCCTGTACACCATTTATAACAATATTTAAAATCTCAGCTGTGACTTACAGAAGTTACATAAGGCAGGCTGTTTCCTCTTGTTCAGAAACTGCCTCAGAAGGTGACGATACCTCCAGCGGAAGCTGGCCTTGTTCAATGTCCCATAAATAATTAATTGCATGATGTTCTGAAATGAATTTAAAACAGCCCCTTTTGATTAAGTGAAGTAACATCAAACTTCATTTTAAAGTTCATTATTATCAGCAAGATAAATACTAGTAAATCAAAAAGAATAAATAAATGAAGAAATGAAAGTGTTAGGATTAGTTAATCCTTTTCCTTAGCCTGTCCTGCCCAGGACATTAACTGAGCCTTTTAAAGAGCTGTAGGCAATGATAATAGAGCCTGTTTGAAATTTTATAAGAGATAATTATTGGGTATGTACTTGATTACCAGCTGGAACAAAAAGATGATTTTTAGGATCAGAACAAAGCAATACAGTAACTATCTGGTACAAAGCAGTGGTATGGAAATAACTAAATGAAAAAGTAACATGGAAACGGGTCCCGCTGACCAGCCCTAACACTGCCATTCCCTGCCTGGGCCTCCTCTTGCCATCCGGGCTCCGGCTCAGGATTTCCACAAGTGACTTAGCCATCCCAGGATGGCAGGGGGTCCCCTCCTCCCTGACACCACTTTTGCTAGTGGCATGTGTAGTTTTTGCTACCCCAGCTCTAGGAAGACAGGACTGAGGAAGACCTAAGTGTCCATTGTTTCCTGCTCATGACTCAGAGAGAGAATGAACTTTCTCAAGGATCTTCCATTTCACCCCACTAAAAACCCTTTAGCCCCCCAGGATTTTGTAAATCCAGCTTCTTGCTGCTCTATCAGCACCACTAATAGCTGCCTACAGAGCAGGCCTCGACTCCTGTCACAACTGGAACCTCCAGGCACCTCAGTGCCATGCATTCGGGGTCAACGGTCAGGATGTCACCCTGAGAGAAACAGTGCAGGTTTCAGAAAGAGGAGTGAGAAGCGAGTGGAGTTTCCCTGCTTTAAGGATCACATAGCACAGGATGCTGGCGGGACCAGGGGAGCAGGGGCTGGGCCCCAGGTGCTGCTCTCCCTCTCTCTCACCCTGGAGCACCCCCAGGCCAGCTCTGGCTCTCCCTGTAACTGCAGGGTGGCAGCATCCCCTGCCTGTGTCCGGGCCCTTGGCGGAGCTCACAGAAAAGCATGTGGTGAAAAGAGAAGTGTGAAAGTGGAAGACGTTTACCATTTCACAAAAACCGGAACTGTTCTGTCAAAATACAAGCCAACACGTTTACCGGTATGTTGTTTTAAAGAAAAAATTTTGACACAAGAATGTAAGGGCTCTGCCAATCCACGTGTGCAGTCAGTCCCACTGTGTGACTTCCAAGGGGAGCCTGGACGAGCTGTGTGAAGAGGAGACACCACTCTCTGGCCACTGTTTCATAAAAGCTGCCATTTCTGCTCCATGGATACTTTCCAGGCAAGAGCCCTTTCAGATTTCTCTTTGTTTTATCACCACCCATCCCCTAAACCAGTTTTACCACGTAAAACACCCTCTTTTTACACTGATCTAAATTCGGTCCTGATAAAATCTGGCAGTTTCAGCTTCGCCAATAGCCATCCTGGCCTAGATGAGAGATTGACTTCATTTCGAATCCACTCTTCCCTTCAGTGTTATCTCCCGCTCCTCTTGCTGCTCCCTCCTCAACTTCAAAGCAGCTTTGTGGTTTGCCTCACAGAAAATCAATGGCTGGGAGATGAAAAGGCTCTCTTGTTTATCTGACTGGCCCACTGAAGGTCATTCCGCTCAGGAGCTCCGTGTGCGGGCCATAGCCACCCTCCTTGCAGCGGGGAGGAGGGCTCTGTGCACCGAACCCTTCAGAAGGAGCAGGTGGGCCCAAGCTATGGGCCAGGGGCACAGCAAAGAATCAGCCGAGCTGGGAGGACTGGTGCTTGGAGGATAAACACTAGGTGTTATCAAGTGTGACACTGGCTTTTATTAAAAAGCTATATCTGGACCTCTTCTGAGGTAAAAACTATAAAGCTTGCCACTTTCTCTAATAGGTGCCTGAGAAGTGACTTGCAAGTAATAGGCTTTAAGAATTAGGACGAATAGGGCCTCCCCGGTGGCGCAGCGGTTGAGCGCTGGGTTGCGAAGCTGCCCGCGGCCTCTGCGGCGCCGGTTCGATCCCCGGCTGCTCCCCAGCCACCGGAGGAGGGTCCCACATGGCGCGCAGACCTCTCCTGCCGCCCGCTGCTCCCCTCAGCAGTGTACTTCGGTCCTTCTGCCTGCTCTGCTCCCCGCTCTGGCTCTGGTGAATTCTCTCACCCTCCTGCGCTTCTGACTGTACCCAGTGCATGTATAAACAAACAAACAAATAAAAAAAAAAAAAAAAAAGAATTAGGACGAATAAAGGGCACTAACAAGTGTTCTGCTGGGTAGCTAACTCTAAACAGAGAGTGACATATCTTCCTGCTGCAAATGTGGCCAGGCCTGAGCCAGGCCAGTCACGTGCCCTCCTGAGCTCTCCAGGTTCCTATGGCCCCAGGCCCTTTCCTGAACCAGTGTTGAGAGAAGAAACCAACAAAGCTTGCACTTTCCCCAGTGCCCTCAAGTCCAAGGTGGGCTTTGCAGGAGCCCCTGCATGTTTCCATCCTGTGCCCCCTCCTGTCTCTGGTGTGCAGCCAGCTAGTGATGTCAGGGAGTAAAATGTCCATAATTTTCCAGGGCCAGAAAACGAGTCACCCTCCTCACCACCAAGTTCCCGGGTAAAATTTACATACCAGGGATAACAACAGGTGCAAAATAAAGGACAATTTAGGACTGAGCCAGTGGCCGTGGCCTCAGTTCAGTGTTTGTAAACCTGGGTTAAAGCCCAGAGCTTATACTCCAGGTCTATGCATTATCGTCTGTGCTCTGAGTCAGCATCTAACCCTTGGAACCCTGTGTTCTAGCTTACCACATGACATAGAACTGAAACAAATGACCAGCTGGCTTCAGGAACATGTAAAGGGAGAAGAACAACCCCAAAGAAGATTGCCGGGTAACTCCAGGCCCTAATTCCCGCTACCAGCTGCACCCCTGCAGTGGAACAAAGGAGGCAAGAACCTCTTAAAACGGGCCAGATGTCTTAGAGTTTGCCAGGGAAGCAGAATGTATCTATGCATGTATGCGGTATTTACTTTAATGAACTGGCTCTCATGATTATGGAGGCTGGGAGGCCCCAACCTCTCTGGGGCGGGCTGGCAGTGACAGGCCCGGGGAGCCGATATCCAGCAAGTTCCAGGTTCCAGGTTCACTTCAAATACAAGACAGGAATGGGCCTCTCCGGTGGCGCAGCAGTTGAGCGCTGGGTTGTGAAGCTGCCCTCAGCCTCTGCAGCGCCGGTTCAATCCCCGGCTGCTCCCGGCCACCGGAGGAGGGTCCCACATGGCGCACAGACCTCTCCTGCCGCCCTCTGCTCCCCTCAGCAGTGTACTTCGGTCCTTCTGCCTGTTCTGCTCCCTGCTCTGGCTCTGGTGAATTCTCTCGCCCTCCCGTGCTTCTGACTATACCCAGTGCTTGTATAAATAATAAATAAATAAATCTTTAAAAAAAAAAAACAAATACAAGGCAGGAAAAAGCCAATTTCCCAGCCTGAAGGCGATCAAGCAGGAAGAGTTCTCTCACTTGGGCAGGGTCAGCCTTGTTCTGTATAGGCCTTCAACGCGTGGCCTACCCCTGTTTTGGAGGGCAGTCTGCTTTACTCAGTGCGCTGATCTGATTTTAGTCTCACCAGACATGCCCAGGATAAGGACTGACACATGCCTGCATGCCCTGTGACCCAGTTGAGGGGACACCTAAAATGAACCAGCACACGTGCCCCTCTAGCACTGTGACTCAAGAATATTCTGAAACAGAGCAATGAGTTTAGCGTTCCCTCGTTTTGTGAGTAGGAGTAAAGAGTGGGAACAGGCAAAAGGGCGTGAAGCTGTAGAGGTGGTGTGTGATGGCTGTTGTAAGGGTGGGCACAAACAAAAGGATTAAAAAAAAGAGAAGACCAAAGAAGACATACAGATAGCCCACAGGCACGTGAAAAGATGCTCATCATCAGTTATTATTAGGAAAATGCAAATCAAAACCACATTCAGTATCACCTCACACATTGTGAGAGTGACTCTGACGCAGAAGACATATGCAGAACACGTGTGAGAAAGGATATGGCAAGAAGGGAACCACTGATGATGGGAATGTAAACTGGTATAGCTACTGTGGAAAATAGTATGGAAATTGCTCAAAAAATTACTAATAGAAATTTCACAGTTACCCCATTTCTGGGTGTTTGCCCAATATAAAATGCAAAAACACTCACTTAAAGAGCTATATGCACTCCACATTCACTGCGGCATTATTTACAATGGCTGAGAGCTGGAAACAACCCGAATGGTCTATTGCCTGACAAATAGGTAAAGAAGATGTGGTATGTATCTGTGAGGGAATACTATACAGGTATAAAAAAGGTGAGATCCTGCAATTGACAACAACTTGATGGACCTAGAAGTTACTGTGCTTAATCGAATAAACTGCACCGATAAAGACAAATACCATGTAATTTCATTCATATGTCATATATAGATAAAACCAGCATGAAAGAAAACAAAAAGGTTTTGGATTGTAAAACCAGAAGGAAAGGGAAGGAGTAAATTTGGTGAAAGAAGCCATTTGTATGGGGAAGGATGGAATTGGACTTTAGTGGTGAACTTTATGTGCTATGTATAGACTTACCGATTTTTAATGAACACCTGAAAACTTACAATGCAGTGTGCCTTAATAATAAATAAATAATAGAAGAATAACAAGTGTGTTATACAGGCTACAAATTCTGTGTGCTTAGCAAGAACTGGACTGGAACTTCCCTGAGAAGCAGGGCTGCTCTTAATGAGGCCAATTCTCAGGGCAAGGCTGGAGTTTGGGGGTGGGGGTGGGGTAAAAGCTAAAATTTTGCCACATACTTACTTTGTGACCTGTGAGGCATACAGCACTTAGCACACACAGCACATAAAAATAGAGGGAGATATTTTTATACATTTCGCTCGCTGTTAGCCTAGTAGAGGAGAGCTAATCTCACACACAGCAGATTTCCTAACAACTCCTTGCTTGAGGCCTTTTTCTACCCATAAAGTAGGAATTAAGTAGCCCAGACAGAAAAAGTGCTAAGGTTGGCAGTGGGCATGACGAAGAGCTGGAAAGGAAAAAGGAAAGAGGTTCCTTCCTTTTTGTCCCATCCCGACAAGGAGGGTCACCAGAGGCCCTGGGTACCACCCAGCCATGAGCTGGGTGCTGTGGGACTCTGCAATTCTTGCTGATATTTGGGGAAACAGCACCTATTTGCTTAGGGCTTTTGCCAGATAGCCCAAGAACCCGCCAGCACTGGCCGCTGCTGCCGCCCCGGCCCCTCCGCAGAGAAGCCACTGCACCATGAAAGGGCTGTGCAACTAGGCCCTGCCTCTGGCCCACAAGCCCTCTTCCCTTTGCCCTTCACATGCATCCTGAGCGGGCAGAGTTTACTGCTGCAGGTGGTGAGGGCAGGTTCCCGGGCCCTGGGGAGGCAGTTCATCCTGAGGCGGAATGAGTGAGATTCTGACGCCAAACTCAACACCACCACTTCCTCTGCTGCTTAATAATTGATCTCTGTGATCCATTGTTATTTTAGCTACCTAAGGATTCGGGCTCAGGGAGTCTGGGAGAGATTTTTATTTCAGAACAGTGTTGCTCCCTTTCTGTATCACTCTTGAAGCGGCCTTAATGGCTTAACCTGAAAAACAAGCCAACTAAATGACTACCCTAAAACTCTCTCTCTCTCTCTCTCTCTCTCTCTCTCACACACACACACACACACACACACACAGATGTGCGTGTGCTTTTTTATTGACACTTTCAATTTTAAAAACTGCCTTAATCATCCCTGTTACAAACACTCATGTAAATAAAATCAGAGGTAAAATACAGCAGATTTATGTTTACTCTTGACCTATCTTCTTTCCTGAAGGAAAAGCACCGACTGAGCCTGTGGGCACTTTGCTTCTCAAAGAGTCTCCTCATGTGTTGCAAAGCACCCCTGATGGCTGGACGAGGACTGCATGCACAGGCAGGTGGCCCCAGTTGGCAGAACAGCAGAGGTGCTGCAAGGTGAGGTGCTGCAAGGTGAGCCTTGCGGAGCCTCCGTCTCCCTCTTGGCAAAGCAGTTTCATTAATCTTGTCCTCCCCTGGCTTAGAGTGCAGATCCCTGCAATCTAGTATGTGGGCACAGGGAGGACCCCACCCAGGGGCCTGTGTGTCCTTCATAATGTCAGACCCCACCTGCTCACTGGTGTGTGCTTTTTCTGGGTTCTCCACCACAGGAAGGTGAGCCCTGGTGAGGCTGGGCAAGCATGGCATGCTTCTTGGCTGGAAGAGGTGACTTGCTTTCTTCCTGGTTTGTAGGCCCAGGGTGGACGAGGAATACAGAGGAAATGGGGAGGCCTCCAGTCATGCCCTAAGGTGAGCCCCCAGGCTTTGTCAAGTTGCCTGTTATATGAATGTCCAGTATTTGTGGACAGCACTTGGAGAGCAGGGTTTAGCACGGCGTGGCCGGTCTCTCTAATGGGCTATCATGTCCTGTGCGGTCAGAGGGTGACTCCTGAGGGCTCCTGTGATGGTGACAGCCTGCTGCCGGGCATCCGTCAGCTCCACAGCCTCCCTCATGGTGATCCGTCAGCTTCAGCCCATAAAATAAACGAGCCATTCTAAGGCTTCTGGAAACTTCTCCCAGCAGTGCTTCCTCTCATCCAGTGGTTTGGCAATTGAGGGGGTCTCTCAAGAAAAGGGAATCACATTTCTGCCCACTGTGCCTGTGGTCGACCGCTCCTCCTTTGAAGACGGTTAGTCTGAAATGTCGGCAGCTCCCTCTTCTTCCCCACTGTTTACCCTCTCACAGCTTGAAGGCGGTGAGCCTCACATCACGGCAGCAGCTAGCTGTGGGCTGCAGTTTCCTGGAACAGGAGCAGTGGGGGTGCTGGGCTGGCGCCTCTGGGGCGCTGCTGGTGGGTCGGCTGCGTTTGGCGGGGCCTGGCAGGCAGCCGCCTCCTT